AAATGAACAGTGATTTCGTCTACCCTCATCACCCTCCAAACTTCATCGTACGGTCATAATTGTCCGACAGTAAATAAGTCAATGGTATGATTAAAAAAAAAAAATAGGGTAGCGTGTGCAAAAAGTGCGTCTATAGAGGTTTATGTAATTTTCCCCCTTTTATTCGTTTATCTATACTTGTCACTGGTATAACATAGGATACACACTGGCTATATCCATCGCCTCTTGTCGTAAGTGCACGGTGGAGATAAGCTGCTCTCTCGCTTTTTAATTCTGCCTTGTCTATCAAGAAATCAGCTCATCGCCAATTGAATCGTTTGGACAATGGATGATCTCTTGCTTCCTTTTCGAGCAATAAAAAGAGTGTACTCATTTTTGTCAAAATAGAGGGAAAACATGTTTTTCTTTTTTTGGTCTTATATTTTGGCAGCATTTTGAAATTAAAATGTGCTCTCCTTTGAGTGGTGGAGGACAAACTAGGACGCTTATCCCATTTGAATGGGCAGATGAAGAAAATGGAATTTTAAACTTGAAATTTATAATTCAAAATGAAAATATATTTTAAGACTATCACAAATATTTTCAATATTGAAACCACATCTTTCAATACTATCTGAAGGTGTGTTTTATTTTGATTGCTTAGAGCCTGGACTCTATACAAACCACACCCTTATATATTATTGGCCTTAGCTTAATAGCCTGAAGTAAGGGTACTTTGGGTAATTTTTTAAAAGAATACTTGAAGAGGTACTATAGTTAAATGATTTTATTAAAGTAACCACCTTGATAGTCCACGTTAATCATTTTTTGAGTCAAGCAGAAATGTACTTGGCTTTTATACCAAAAAAATGATCTTAGGTCCTGTTTCTATTCATGAAATTTTAGCAGCAACATTGTTTCTTACATCCGCCAATTTGAGAAAGATAAGCCTCCTAGTTTGGTCCACCACTAATGTTATGTACTTTCTTGGCTTTTTTTTTTTTTTAGGTAATTCAATGGGGATGGCGAGCCCCTACCTGTTTTATCAAATTGTTAGTGGTTTCTAAATGCGTAAGGTGAGAATTGAAGCCTAAGCCTTAGCTGGCGCACAAGTGGTGCTACCACCACAATCCCAACCCCAACCCCAACCCAATTCTCTATTGTCTTGGCTTTTATACCATATATAACACAAGGACCTTAAAACCTTGTTTGGACAAACGAAAAATAGTGTCGATTGACTAAATTTATGAAAACTTCAAAATCTTGAAAAGTTATGGTCCAAAAATGCATTATAAGATACACTATTTCCAAAACTTGAAATCTATTTTTTTCTCATGTCCATGCATCTTGATGTCGAGATGATCAATTTGAGGATATTTAGGAATCAAAACAACCTTTCTAGTGAAATTTTTGAGGTGCGTTCTAATTTGGTTGTTTAGAGCCTCGCACTTATATAAACTATTTCCAATATATAAACCCCCATTTTCTCTAAACTTAGAAAAAGAGAATTTAATAATGGAAAAGTGTTGTGCAAGTTGGGACTCGGGAGATGCATGACTACATTTCCTTCCCCTAAGGCATGAAACACCCATCTTGTAGAGTGGTTGTCCCTCCAAGAAAAAATAAAAACCAACGGTTTAAAAGCATTTCTAAAAAATCATCAGTTTAAGTTTTGAGAATTAGTTTTCTTACGTATTAATGATCTCTATGATAGAGAATATATATACCTAAAAATTTTGGTCCAAAATTTTATTTTATTTTTTTTAACGTGATGAGTTATAGGGCTCATAAAAAGCGTGCCCTTAAATAAATAAGCATGTTTTGGGTATGTAGACTAGAACAATCGATAGCATTTTTATCATTTGGCTTCCATCATCAAAAGATCCAGTTCATAAAGTCCCAGGTTAATTTTAACAAAATGGAGGTATTTGAATGAAATAATCTTTCCAAAGCAATCATTGTATTTGTAATTGGTTGAATTGACCTTTTCAATGGGTTTTTGAGATGATTTAACCATTACAATGATATTTTCTCAAAATAAAATTCAACGCGTTTGGTGGTCCGTCCAAACTTAGCCCAATCACACGTACTCGATATATCCAAGCTTTTACTCGAGAGGAATAAAAGTAAAATCAAGAGATAAAAGAAAGTAGAGAAGACCACTAAAAGTGAAATCAATTTGTACACAGCTGAGATTGTGAGATATTGACACTTTGATTTAAAATCATCATTATAATTTTTTTTAATTAATTGGAACCGACTACGCAAATCTTGGTGAGGCCATAAGTCCCGATATCTTTCTGAACTACTTCCAACCATGTCCTTTTGAACCTACACTTTCTCTTTTTAAGTCCTTTCGCTTGAACTAACTCGCACCTCTTAACAGGTGTTGTACTTGGTAGATGCCACACATAGCCAACTCACGTAAATCTATTATCTCTCGTATTATCGCCTATTGGTGACATACCTAAATTTTCCCGAATTGATTCATTTCGAATTCTATCCCTTATTGTCTTGTCACTTATTCATCTCACTATCATCATCTCCACTACACTCATTCTATGGGACTATTGTTTTTTATTCACCCAACACTCAAGCCCATAGAACAAAAGTCGTCTCACAGCTGTCCCATAGAATTTGCCCTTCAGCTTCATTGGTATGCGATGATCACATAAAATTTCAATTTTACATCTCCACATCGCCCACCCAACTCTAATTATGTATGCGATATCTTCCTCAATCTCTTCATTTTTTTGAATTATCGACCCAAAATATCAAAAGTACGGCCTTTTTTGTACTGACCATTCAAAATAATGTTATTCATCATGATAATAGCTAAGAGTTCTCGTTGTCATAAGAACAAAGTAGCAAGGAGGGTAATTTAACAAACAGCAATGCAATTGACAATAAAAAGAATAGCAATAAATAGCGTTATGTACCAATAACCTGCCATTGCAGAAATAATGTTTTATTTCTAACCAAAGACGATAAACTTTTTTTCAATAGCTTACAACATGAGTGACCAACGGTTTGTCTTTGGATCCTGTAACCAGAATGGCTAGGCAGACTTGAATTATATTACGGCCCCGTTTGGATGGACACTCTAAAGAAGAATGTCTGTTTACTTTCTCCTGCGGTTATTAAGAAAATGCCTTTGAAAGCTCAGAACTCTTGACAAAAAAACTGGTTTCACTCATCTCACAGATGAGTTATTAAGAAAATGCCTTTGGGTAATTCAGCAGTAGGAATCGGACTTGAGATGTAGTACTACTAAACGTCAACCGCTAACCAATCAAACCCCGAGCTCAATTCTTTATTTTGAAAAAGTTGCTGGATACCATTCTATTAGCATAGCCAATCCATTAACGGACAAGGGATGTTCAACAAAGTTGGTTTCAAATTCCCATCATTTTCTCTTTTGGGTGGTTCCCATCCCGATACCAAGTTCATTAACTAGTGTGATACAACATTACCAATATCAATACCCCGTGCATGATTAACAGTATAGAACTAAAAAATATATCCATAACCAGTCACTAATTCTTGTGAAATATTGCATTTATGGTGATTCCAAAGTGACAATTGCCATGGTATCTTCTTATGTACACCAAAAATTGACTAATTCTTCATGTAGCTCACATTCACAATGCACAAACTCCTGAGAAATTACTGTAACTCATGCATGTGCATGGAAGGCCATTGGCTGCTTATGGTCAGAATGTGGTGGGCTTCCATTCACAAGAATATTCCCCAACCTATCCACCCGTATGCTTTTGAAGTCGTATTTCTGTTTTGCATTGGACACCAAAAGGATAGCAAACTGTTGTTTAGATGAAAATTATGTAGCAACTACAGTAATTAACAAGAGCTACATATCATGGAGATTCAAGATTTCCTTATCCCATGTTGGACTCCCTTATTGCCAATAATCACCATAAATTCCATCTTATATCATATTGAATGATTTCTTTCATTTAGAACACAATATATTGTCCTCTTCGAACCCTAATGTTCCAGGATTATATCAGCATTCCACCAAAAGGAAAGCAAAATTAGGCCATACCTTGCCCTTCCAAGAAAAATCAATTACTCTACAATTAGGATCGAGCAGTCTCACGGTGGCTCCATTCATAACCTAGAAGAGACAAGAATCCCATTAGTACTATTGACACCAGATAAATCTGTGTAGTTACCCACCAATAATAGCTGTTTTCTCAAATTAACCTTATTTTTATCTTTTATTGTTAGTTAATTCAAGATTCCCAAATCAGTTTCATATAAAATATGATTCCTAACATTTTAAAATATACGCTTTGTTACATCTTATACTGCTTTCTACCGTTATTGTCTATTTCATATTCATCATCTGTTTGGCATTAATTTTTTCCAAACTTTTTTCAAATTATAAATATTCCTTATTTTTCTTTCATTTTTCGTGCAATACATGCCTCATAAATGTGAAATATAGCATTCGTTGAATCTAGCCTCACCCCGTTGCTAGATAGTGCATACAATGGGATAATGAAGAATGTCCCATCCGAATCACACAGCAAAAAGTATCTGTAAAAGAACATAGCAATCATGACATTATTTGATGTGTTCTTTCAAAACGGTAACTTACCTCAAAGCAAAATAGGCTATGAAAATTTGGAATGTCCTCGTAATATTAATTTGATTAAATGCATGTATTGCAGTTTCCAAGTTCTTCCTTCAACACGCAATAAAACATATGACACTAGAAAGAAAAACAGAGTAAGAACTTACGGGAGGGAAGTAAAGGGAAACCGAATGAAGACCATCACTTTTCCCAATACTGCCATGCCATTATTCCTCCCATCCCTCAAGAGGTTTAATGTAGCCATCTTGTATGGGATATTCACTAGAAGAAGTTATCATCAAAAAGGAGTCCAAGGCCAAAATGAAAGAAAAAGTGTAAATAAATCATGCATAACCGAGTAGAACAATAGGATGCTCACCGGTAGTCTTACGCAGCGCTTCTACTATTGAGGCAATCCATCGTGGCTTGAGATGGCCCTGAATTTCAGCACTTTAAGCTCAGAAGATGCCAATGTATCTAATAAAAGTATTTTGGAGCCAACAAAGCTAAGGGTCTTTGTAGATGAGCTTAATTTTAGCTGTGGACGAGTAAAAAAGAAAGAACAACTCAAAAGAAACATAAGAATGAAATGCTGCCACTGGTAAAGTGAGACCAGGAATATGATGGGAAGTCATATTATAAAAGAATTTAGAAGTGGTGCATTCTGTATTTTCATTACTTTGTAAGAATAGGTGAATACTGAGATGTTGTATTTCTGTATGGATGTCTATATAATTAAAATAAATAAAATATAAGACTTGGTTATTATTCTAATTGTATAATTATTAATTACAATATTATAATAAACGTAATTCAAAAAACAAGGGTATGACCCTCACAAATAAATAAATCTAATATGCAATAATTAGTATAGCTAGAAATATAGAATTTAGAAATATAAATTTTCAATTATATTTTAATAAATTAATAAATAAATAAATAAATTCATACTTGCAATGTGGGATAATTGATAAAGCAACTTAAAAAAAATTCTTAAGTGGTATAAATTAGTATTATTTTCCTCTCTTAAAATATCCGATAAACTAATATTTTTTTAATATTCTCAACTAATATTAGTATTATTTTTTGCTTTTATTAAAATCCTATGAGCTAGTACTAATTTTTTTTAATCCTAACTAGCTAATAACTTAATATTAATCATATAATAAAATAATCCCATGAGATAATAGCCTCATAGTACTAATCTCTTTATTTTGATTTTTTGGTAAGTAAATTTAAATTTTTTTGGTGAAAGATAGGGTGGTGGGCCCTATCACCCAATTATTATTTTTAATAATTTTATTCCTTTTTTTATCATGTCATTTAGTGCCGGGCGCACACCCCTCTTATTGATGGCTCACCCATCCCTACCTAATAGTATTAATCTATATGCTCATTCAATGCAACAACGGCATCATTTTTTGGGTTGGGCTATGAGAATTGTCCCACATCAAAGAGATGTGGGACAAAAAGGCATATAAAATATATTGCAACAACATCAATACCAATCAGTTGCTTGGGAGTAGGGCTACGTGCAAGGTCCACAAGCAAATGGTAGGTGGGAATTTGTACGAATTTTTTAATAAAAAAAATGGCGAACGCACCAAACCCAACAATTTGTGACGTCAACATGGCGATTTAAAGGTCTTTTAATAATAAAATGGTACGAACATGCCAGACCCAATGATATGTGACATCAGCATGGCGATTTAAAGGCTAAAAATCAGCCGAATCCCGTTTTTTCCTTGGATCTAGGACGGCCTGGGCGATACCCGATTCGGATCACCTGATTTTGGATCGGATCACTGATTTTTCGAACACTAGATGTATGCAAATAGCATCGTCTTTAGCCATACACCCATTGCCAAGTTAAACGTCAATCAGCCTCAATGTGCTTCATCCTCTCATAAAAAACCAGATTAAAGTCTAGTCTTGTATGGAAATTGCAGAGGACAACAGTGTATAAAAAAATGGAGATTACCATTAAGTTGCCCAACAATTATACAAGTATATTCTAGAGAGAAATGGGTGATATTATCAGATCCAAGTCCAAGGCAAGTCTGTGTACTATATTGAGGCAACACTAGACTTCCCAAATCAAGAAACAAATGGTGATTACAATATGACTGCCAATGAAATATTGTTTCTTCCTGCTCCCTCATCAGAAGGCACTCCCATAGTATTTCCAGCAATTGCATTTTGCAAATGCAAAGCATATTTTAAGACTAGGACTCCAAGAAACACTATGTCAGTACATGAACAACATCATGGTGCCTTTCACAGAAAAAATGTTCAATACAAACTAGTCGCATAAAGAAGGAAGCATTAGGAACAAGCAGAAGCATCTGCGGAAAGAGTTTCACTCGAGTAGATTATTTTTGCTATCTCAAAAATGAATGAGCTGAATCCTAGGAAGACTTTTGTTGACATCATATGATACCATTGACTGTGGTACCTAATAAGTTCAACCTACTATTAGATTTGAACCAATTACTCCGGCCATATGAAAGCAATACTCTATCCACTGAGGTTAGTAGGTTATTTATCACCTCAAAGAAAGATGAGGTTATTTATCAACTATTTAACCGACCCCAAGTAGTTGGAAAAAGGCTCAGATAATGACAACGAAAGAGAAAGGATAGAAAACGTCTGAGATTATAGATTAGATGGGATATTACTTCTATACAATACCAACCCCTAGCAGGAACCCGATTGGAGCCGCCATGGTTGTTGGGGTTTGTGGCCTTTAAACGTTGTGAGAGCATGTAAAAAGACATTTATAGTGGATTATACATTTCAGTGGGAGTGTGTCTTGTTACCTGACTAGGGTTCGGCAGTTTATAGCCCTATTCATGTCCAAATTACTTACCCATGAGCACAAGGCACTACCAAAAAGAATTACAGAGGGTCATCCCTTGTTGAGGTAGGAGACATGTCCAAGGATGGTTTGTAGGCTAGGAGAACAGTGTGGTTGCAGGCCTGTGAGAGAGAGGGTCAAATCTTCAACAAACTTCCGCATGGCATGTACATATGATGGCCACATTTCAGGGAAGTATCCCTATAAAGAGACATGTGTACATGCGCATAGAGAATCCCACTTGCACTGTAGTGACATGTGTTTGACTTGCTCTTAAGAGGGGGAACTATGATCCACATTCGACGACTGTAGTTCTACTATTTATTGGTCGGCTTTGACAAGCCAATTATGAGCCCCTGCATGAAACTATGGGTTATAGTCTCGTTGGGTCGGTTTGAGAAGACAGTTGTGAATCATGGTGATTGGTACCGATCCACTTCTAGATATTTTATTTTTAGTATTACAAATATTTATGTGAGTTTCATAAATTTTTAAGAATTTTTAAATTTATTTCTGCTGCAAAATCCTTAGAAAGTGTATTTTCATAATTATGTGACAAAGGAATGGTACATGTGGGGCTCTCAGATCCAGACCCACATGTGTGCCACACCCCATGGGGCCCACATGCCACCCATAGGGGTGGAGCGCCCCCCTTCCTTAATTTTAAGTTATGTTTTAATTAAAAGATGTTTTAAGTTGAAAAAGCTAATCTTTTAAAAGAAACGATTATGTGCCCTATTTTTTGGGAGTTAGTTTTGACCAAGATTATATTATCGTTGAATTCCTACAAATTTTGAAAAAGATATTAAGAAGTTCTAGAAGGATTTAGATAGCTTTAAATCCCAATTGGACTAGAAGTGGATATAGGTCAAAAATTAAGGGGATAAAGTTCCTATGTTCCTACCTAAATCATGATGGCTGATCTAAGGGAAGGATGGCCCAGATTTATTCTCTATCACCTCACAGATTTCCTAAATTCCTATTAGTCAAGCTATGCCATTTGATAGGCATACCTAAAGAGGGACATATAAGCTATAAAAAGAGGTGAACCTCTTCCAATTCTACAAACAATTAAGCCTCTCTCTCCTCTCTCTCTCTCACTCCACACACCCAAACAAGAAACTCTTCTCTCATCTTTTGTTGCCTTTTCTCTCTCCTCTTACTCTCTAAGGGGACACACCACCCTAAAGAAAATATAAGGGTGGCACGCTATATAAAATAACCCTAGATAGGATTTGGTGAGAGAGTGAGGCACGCCCAACCCAAGAAATGAAGAGTGCTTTTCTTGGCATGCCCTAAATTTGTTTCTACAAGGTTCTAATAAAATCCTAATTGTTTTTTGATGCTCTCTAAACCCTAGATTGAGAAGTATTGCCTATGAAAGCTTCCCATCTTTGGCCTTCGCAAGGTTCCCATAAATCGCAGCTCCAACCAACGCTCATGTCCTTTCACTTGGTCAGATCCACAGCTTGCCACCAAGTCTCATTAGCTTACACACACGATCAATCCTTGTGCTACCACCATGTGTCTGAGTCCGTGGCCACTTCCATTGCTGCCACCACGTCCCACTCGTTGTACGCATGGTTAGTTCTGCATGCCACCATCATGTGTTTGGGTTCGTGACCAGGCCCCAAGGATGTGTTCCAAGTGCTCATCTTGGGTCTTGGTATGAGCTTTGCGCCTTCAACGAAATGCGTCTGATCTCGGCCTCCAAGACAGTTAGATTCTGCTCCAAGTCACCATCCTGGATCCCTCAGGTAAGTTGCTTCTACTGTTTCTCAAGGTGGTGTATACAATCCTAGGTACATGGCCAAATCCGTTAATACCACCACGCTTCAAGCCTACTCTAATACCATCTATCACGACCTTAGTGAAGCTCACGTTTCGACTGTGCAACATTCGCTCATTGGTCTGTTAAGGACGAATCAACCTTCCTAACCACAGTACAAGTGGCACCAACAAGCACAATAAGATGACCAACACTAGTGTACACCACCCACATACTAGTACAACTAACACAAGTACACACCACACCCAAAAGAGAGTAGTGATATACATACACAAGAGAGGGATATAGTAGAATAGGAATAGTTTTGTATTCCACTAATACGAAATAGCTTACAAAGTCTGAGGTATGTTACAAATGAAAGGTCTTCTCCCTTATATAGACACGTGGCCTAACAACCAATGGCTAACATTAATATACATGGCAACAATTCAATGGCCAACAACCTTCTAGGCTTTATATTGTTTTAGAATACTATTTCTAGATCTTTCCTTAGGAAAGATCTAGAAACCTTGTGTTATGGAAGAAGCACAACTAGAGCGTTGCCAGATTAGGTGGGGAGAATATTACACCCCAAAAGTTAAGCGACGCTTCGTCCCTACAAGGCTTGTACACTATGTACATAGACGTTTTTTTTTGTCACATTGGCCTGGAACATTATAAAGAAATCTAGTGGATTCTAGTGGGTTCATGGAAGGTCTAAAAGGTTCCTCGATCTTTTATAAAGGAAGGCCTGAAAATAGTATTCTAAAAAAATGTAGAGGCGAGAAGATTTCTGTCCGTTGGATTGGTGCCATGTGTATTAATTTTACCCATTGGTTATAAGGCCTAGTGTATATAAAGAGGAAGATCACTCATTTGTAACATACTTCAGACCTTGTAAGCTACTGAGCATTAGTGGAATACAAAGCTCTTGCTATTTTACTATGTCCCTCTCTTGTATGTGAGCGTGGCTGCTCTCTCTTGTGCATAATGTGAACTTGTGTTGGTTGTGCTAGTGTGTGGGTGGCGCACACTAGTGTTGGTCATCTTATTGTGCTTGTTAGTGCACACTTGTGCCATGGTTGGGAAAGTTGATTCGTCCTTACGGACCAAAGAGCAAGCGCCGCATAGTCCAAGCACGAGCTTCACTAAGGCCATGACATCTAACGCAATTAGGTAGAACACATCCCTTACTGAAGGAAATCAAGCAATGTTGGTCATGTTTCACATGATATAGTTTCCCATTCCCTCCTGTTTCACAGGATATGCATCTTTATCCATGCAATGTTCCATTGAAGTGGGTAACATACATCATAATAGCCTCACGCACTGGTCAGCAACAGCATGCTTCAAAAAGCATCACAACAGAGGATTAGTTTAGTAACCACGCCCAATTGGAACTAATGTATAGATTTGTGTGGACAGCATATTCTTTAGCCACATTCAATGCCAAACAAAGTGTCAAACAGCCTCAATGTACTTCATCCTCATAAAACTAAATTACAATCTAGTTTTGTATGGAAAACGCAGAGAAGAATAGTGATTAATAAAAAGATACAGACTATCACTAACTTGCCCAGCAACAATACACTATATCCCAAAGAGAAATGGGTGAGAAGAATAAAAGATCACATCCAGGTCCAGGACGAGTGTATGGAATAATGTGAATGCAGGAACCTGTATTTAGGCATCATTGACCAAAAGACTAATGGTGATTACCATAGGGTTGCTAGTGGAAGATTGTCACTTCTTGCTCCCTCATTACTAAGCATTTCCATGGTGTTTCCAGCTATTTTATTTTACATATTTGCACATTAAAAGATTAAGACTCAAAAGAGAAACCATCAAGTCACTACATGAACAACATCATGATGTCTTTCACATAACTGATGAAAAAAATGCAATAGAAACTAGTCACATAACGAAAGTAGCATGGGGAACAATCAGAAGCATCGGAGGAAAGATAATCTTTCCACAATCAACTCAGGTAGATTATTTTGCAATCTAAAAAATGGGTTAGCTGAATCTTAGGAAGACTTTTGTCGAAAGCAGATAGGGGAATCAAACAATTAATACATAAACGTACCCAAGAAGGGTAAAATCTTTCATGTCAAAGCAAGTAGTAGCATCGCTACAATATCATCCACACAAACTATGACAATAATGCTTGTAGTACATTAAACGAGGAGCACTCACATATTGCTTCAGACGATAAGACTGTTTTAAAGAAGACTTCTTAGAATTGGAAATCAAAGCCACAAAAATGGGCATTAGCATGTAAAAGTTATTATCTAAATCTCAATTAAGAAATACATTTTCCCCATAAGTTTATCAGGATTCATGATGGGTTTTGGAAAAAATTTACGTTGGCTGCCTACCTAACACAACCATGCCTTTTTACCCGAACATGGGATGGGTTAAGGGAAAGTTTAAAATTAGTCGGAGTAAGACAAAATATATGGAGTACAAATTTAGTAATAATAGGAGTAAAGACGAGGAAGTAGTAAAAATTGTCAATCAGTAAGTACAAAAAAGACCACACTTTCGATATTGAGAGATCGAAAATTGAGACCACACCTCAAGGAAAATTGAAAGATCAAGGAAGATGTCGCACACAGAATTAGAGCTAGGTGAACAAAGTAGAGATGTGCAACTGGAATTTTATGTGATCGTTGCATATCAATGAGGCTGAAGGGAAAATTCCATAGGATAGCGGTGAGACCAGCTTTGCTCTATGGGGCAGAATGTTGGGCGGACAAAAAACGATATACCCATAGAATGAGTGTAGCGAAGATGAGGATGTTGAGATGGATGAGTGGAAAGAGAGGAAGGGATAGAATTCGCAATGAATCTATTCGAGAGAATTTAAGCGTGGCACCAATAGGCGATAAAATGAGAGAGAGTGATTTAGGTAGGCTAGCCATGTGTGGTGCCGACCACGTACAATACTTGTTAGGAGATGTGAATTAGTTCAATTGGAAGGACTGGAAAGGGCAAAGGGTAGGCCCAAAAAGAAGTGGTTGGAAGTAGTCCAAAAGGTATGGGGACTTAGAGCCTCACCAAGGATATGGCTTTTAATAGAGCAGAATAGAAAACCAAAATTCATGTAGTCATTCCTAATTAATTGGAAAAAAGCTGAAATGATGATAATGATGATGATTTTCCCCGTAAGTTCACAAGCAGACTCTTTTAGACTGATGCCTGAGCAAAAAGTATACAAGTTCTTTGTCATCGTGACCCACCCACTAAGATAAAATACTGTCATGCTTAAGGACATACTAAACCTTAGGTACTAATGAATCTCGAAGCAATCCTGTTTTCGTTTTTTATCATCTAGGGAACAATCCATTGTAATCTCAGCTTATGCTTTACCTACTAAACCCAACATCAAATAGTTTACTTAGAAGGCAAGAAACAAATCAAAAATGTCATTTCCTTCATGCTTGCTGCCAACACCTACCATTACTATACCAACGCATTAGGAACAGGAACAAAATCATTAAGGTTGATTTTGTGCAGTAACTGTGATGTTAGGATTTTGTAATTTTGGCAGAAAGAAGTGAATCGTTCTCTCATTGAAGTTGTGGACGGAATGTAGTATTTGATAGTTACGCTTAATATGTTTCATGTATCATTTCTTCTGTATTGCTCTTTCTTTTGATAACTAAGCTTAACCTTAAGCTAATTTTTCCATGTATCATTTTTTTCATATTGCATGTCAAACATACAAAGTAAAATAAAAACATGTTACATCCCATAGTTCCTGGTCCAAGAGTATAAAAGCAAAGGAAAAATATATCACCTTGTTAGTTACAGAATCATTCAGCTTGTCAAGAATCTTGATAATCTTTTCAATAATCTTGTCAGTGTTGAGACTAGGATTCTGTAAAGCAGCAGCTTCAAATCCACGGAGAGCAGCATCATACTTCTCTGTTAACTTGTTCAACTGAATAAAACCTTCTTATGAGATATCAACTTAAAAAAAATAAAAGAGATGAGACAGATTGAATTAAGATGATGAAGTCCAGTCACTTGAATAGAATAAACAAATCGAAAAAAATAAAGTTGACGTTTTATCGCAATAAAGTTTAATTATACAAGGAAATTTATTAACATACTCATAAAAGGCTCAACTATTTAACATTTTAAATTTGCAGCTATTCCAACTTATGATCATGTGTCTTTTCATGCATATTTTGAAATTCAATCAAAAGATATGGGTAGACATTTAAATAGTTCATGTCCCATGGGCATTTGAATAAATTCCCAATTATATATAAAACACACCTCCAACTCAAAAAGCATGGTTAGTTACCAATTAAAAAAAACTAAACAACACCATAATTCTAATATTCGGATTATTTTTACTTATGTTTATGGGAAAGATAGTAGTTGTTCAATTCATCTTATAACTCAGAAATAAACGAAAAATGAGATCCCCAAAATCATTGTACAGTCTATACGAGACGTGTAAGAACTATAAAAGAGATAAGAAATTTATAAAATCTTGAAACAAAGTGTATCAATTAAGTTGAAAAAAGAAGCCCCAAAAGTGGAAACATAGATGACAGAATTGGCCAGGAAGTAACATTGGTTAGTTTTTCTACAATGACAACACTGTGAAAACTTTCTTAACAAAAATAACAACTATTAGAAAACTTCAAAAAGGTGGGCAGAGCTAAGGTCTCACAATGGCCTTGTTGAAGTGAAGATCTGAATTGATCTTCAAGCTTTCATCCTTCTCCTGAAATTTCCCCCAAAAAAACATAATGAAAAAATTAACTTATTTTAAATTCCAAACAAATGGCAGAACATGCATTTCTGCAAATTCAACCCTTGAGTCCATCTTTGCAGCCTAATCAATTATAACGACAGGGAAGTAAAGACCAAGCAGCAAATCAACCACATAATCTGTTACCTTATAACCCCATGGCCAAAAATTGTGTAAACTTACATCATTTGCGTAAGCTTTCAATGCATACTTCAGTTTTTCCTCATCCTGGGATCCACCAACAGAAAAGCTGACAAAGTATGAATTGCCTAGGATGTCTGCTATAAAGAGAGAGAATTTAGCAGAATTATAAGCGAAGTTTGCAAAGAGAATATGCAACTATAAATAAAAAACACCACTACACCCAGCAAGGTAGTTCCCAAAACAAATAGAACACATTAAGAACTAACGAAAAAAATTCCATGATTTCAATGGAAATGTTTATTATCTAGGTATAAAAAGAAATATATGTCCAATATTTTGTTTGCAAAATGCAAGTAATTGGAGATGAGCCAGAAAATGTAGAATGCGCAACGAATATCATATAAAGAGATGATGCCTCCATGAATAATAGGAGAAAGGTAGAAGCGGTAATGAGAAATTTATTCCTCCCACTAGGGGTATTGATCACTCTTGAGTTAAATAACTCTTGCCTCAATTAAAGAAAACAATAATGCCTTATTTCAAGAAAACAACTAAACAACAATTTAATATTTTCTATATTGACTGATCAAGAACAAGAATAGAGTACAGACTAAATTAAGAGAAACCCCATCAAGGACTCCGATAACATTTTCGAAGTTCCAATACAAAGAAAAAGGCAAGACCTTGCAATAACAAATTTATAACATTCAAGAAATAGATACAGAATAAAACATAAAAGGAAGTAGATGCAGTTGCATTTGCATGTTCAAACATGGGAAGCATGTTAAAAGGATGAAGGAGTAGGCAAACATTAGAGAGACAGGGCAAGTCAAAGGAAACCATTTTTTCTTTTTGGGCAGTTCGGTGGTAGGAATCAAACTTGAGATATAGCTGTTGCAAACAAAGGTCAACCGCTAACTACTCAATCTCAAGCCTGGTTCCTCAAAGGAAACCAAATCAATGTAAAAAGAAATACAAATGCTCTTGGAGTCGTGATAAATCAAGACAATCCAAGAAATGCGAATAGCAACGGGTTTTAGAACAATTCAATGTCTACCAGAAGAGCCACTTATGTGTCATCCACAAAAAGTTGCCATGTATTCCAAGGCCGGTGGATTCATAAAGCCAATATCCAGCCAATAGTGGAAGGGTGGATATTATGTCCTTCATGACTTGCTTAAGCTAGTGAAAAGACAAATGGCCATCATGTCTTTGAACATGGAAAAGCAATCACCTATAGCCAAGAGGAGATCATCTTTGAGCTGAACCCTAAGGAGCCTTGGGTAAGCCCACAAGACAACTTGGCTGAAAACAAGATAGGTGCAAGTCTGAATGACATGGCTTGTGATCATAAAAAGCACATCAGTTCTCCCTGTGAAGGATACAATTTTCAAATGACTAGGTTTCATGAGCAATCGTGAAGAGTTCGGACCATTAGCCACCTTAGAATCCGTAACCTGTAGAGATTATTCGGGAGAGACTATGAATGTTTGATCCCTGACCACACTAAAACTTTGAAGATTCTGGCTAAATCAGCAGGTAAATCCGATGGAAGCTGGTTTGGGTGTTGTTGAGTTGTAAGAGACCTTTCCAACAAGTGGTCACAATAATGAACCGATAAAAGAGCAAAACGTTATACATTATCAAAGACAGAGTACCAAAAGGTCAAAGAAGACAGCCCGAGTTAACTTCACCCAATTAGGTGACAAAAGTAGCCTCACCAAATTATCTTCACCAAGAACGATGGATGCTTGACCAAAATAACTCCTTACCATTTGGAAGTGCTAGTATGTGCAGTCTCGTTGAAGTAGACCCCTGAACATACCTAAAAGTAACCCGAAACCACTAGTTTATTTTGCCTATTCTCCTCTCTGCCAAAAGAAAAAGAATCAACCCTCGACCCAAGTACTTGAGTGTGTCATCCCTTAGTCCTCAAAAGTGAATATCTCTATCGAAGGTGACTAGTCAAGAACTAACAATCCCTTCGGAAAAAGAAGTCACTATGTCAGTGGCTATTAGTATGACAAGAGGCCAGATATGTTGGCCAGGAGCCACTTGCATGAAGCAAGGGGAGGGCATATGTCTCTTATATGGGACAAGGAGGACCAAGTGTCTCTTGTCTCCAAGATTGACAAGAAAGATAAAGGACCTCCTGGAAGTTATATAACCATTTGGTGAACTCACTCTATGAGCCTAAGGACTCAAGGAAAGGAGGGTTGTATATTGGGATATACTTTGAAAACACTTGTTCACGTACTTGCCGAATCACTCGATAGAGAGGGAGTATTGGTCGTTAGTCTAGATAGGCTCTACATTGAACCGACCTTTGTGTGGACTTGAGACCCTAGAACGATCGAGGGAGAGTCCAATGGCACATGGTGCTAGGACTTCTCTCTAAGCTTGGAACTATAGCTATCAAGACCGGATCGGACTGGTAGTCCGATCGGTTAGACAGTCGACCGATGCCTAGGCCAGTCTGGTCCAAAATAAAAATCAAGTTTGGTCAAAACCAGTATTTAACCAGTTGTAGCATGTCCGTCTGGCCTGTTTCGACTTACCAAACAAAGTGGGCAACCTTTCTTTCTAATATATTACATATATTTACTCAACCACTATCGGTCCCAAGCCCAAATGAGAAAGAATGAGGATTGTGTTAGGTTGGCAGCCGGTGGAAAACTTTTGCCACATCTCTATCATGTTAACCAACCCCAAATAGTTGGAATCAGACTCAGATTATGATGAAGGTGATGATATTACACATTTTTAAATTCTTAATTTATATTTTTCTTTATATTTTTAACATTCGGTTAAACCAGTTTTGACTAGACCAAGCCCCGCACCAGCTCAGTGCGCAATACTATATTGATAACATTGCTCGAAATTGTTATCCCCACAAAATAATGGACCTTGAAGGAGCTTGTTCTTGACAATGGTAAAATGGGTTTTAATGAAATGTTTAACATTATAAAGGCCAAAAGTATTGTTAATGTATACAAAACTTTAGCTTGAAACCATTACTTGTAATGAGATATTAATGTATATGAGACTACTGCAAGTGTGTACATTGTGTAACTGCAACTTTTAGGCACCTGCCATTTTCTCTAAGGGGAAGTTTGGTAACTAATTGCTAGGGATTCGGTAGTAACTAGAAGTTGATATCTGGAAGTTCTGAAACTTGATTGATCACTTGCTGGAAGTTCTCGAATATAGAAATCAAGCTTCACATTGAACTAATAAAGCTTCACGGATTCACAAAGAGGGGGGAAAGAAGAGAGAGAGAGAGAGAGAGAGAGAGAGAGAGAGAGAGAGGGGGTTAGAGAGAGAAGGGATACGCTTAAATAGAGAATGGGAACATTTAGAGAGAGAATGGAGTTATAGAGAGGGGGAACAGTTAGTAATAGGACTTAAAGAGAATAAGGATAGAGATTGAAAGGAGCTCGAGAGAGAAACGGCACATTTAGAGACAAAACGAAGTTAGAAAGAAATGGCACAAATAAAGAGCGATAACTTAAAGAGAGAAAGGACACGGTTAGAGTTTGAAAGGGCACTATTAGAGAGAGAATGGGCATGGTTAGTAGGAGAAAGGAGTTTGATAGAGTTAGAAAAGGAGAGAATATAGTGAGAGGGCGCAGTTGGAGAGACGTGTTATAAAGAGAAAGGGCATGGTTAGAGAGAAAGTGAGAGAATGGGTAAAATTACAGAGAAGATTTAGAGCAGGAAAGGTGCCAAAAAGAGATATGGCACATTCAGAGAATAATATAAATAAAGGAATTAAAGAGACAGCGCATGATTTGAAAGACATGTTAGAGAGAGAAAAGTTATGGTTTTGGTTGGCTCTTTTCCAAAAGCGCCCTTACTGTTGACCAGCTACAAAGGAGGGGTCTGCCCATCCCAAATAGGTGCGTGATGTGCTGAGCAGATTAAGAAAGCAACGCCCATCTTTTTCTCTGTCCCAAATAGGTGCATGATGAAACGGGGGGCCCTTCTCCAACTCTTCAAATGCCAATGGGTTACGCCCCAACTCAGTCCACTTCTGTTTCGCTCCCTCCACCGCTTCCCGTGGCCCCAAAGCTGGTATTCTCCTATGGAAGGCCTCGGTTGCTACTAGCCTCTGGACCTTGTGGAATGAATGCAACAGCAGAATATTCCATGGTGAAAGGTCCTCGCTAGGTCAAATGTTTGACAAAATTCAATCCCCGGTTATCTTCTGAGCGACTGATCACAAAATGTTTAAAGGATTACCCCAATCCGCCTTCTTCCAAGACTGAGAAACCTTACTCCATTCAAGAAAAACTCGTATTCCCCGTGCCTCCCTTTGGATTCCACTTATCCCAAGGCAGACTAAATTGAACTTTGATGGATGCTCTCTAGGTAATCCTGGCCCTTCAGGGATTGGTGGTCTCATTAGGGATCATGCGGGCCATATCCTCGTCTCCTTCTCCAAGTACATAGGCCACACAAATTCCAATTCGACAGTGGGCCTCACTCTCCTGGAGGGCATAAGGCTTTTTAACCCCCTATGGAGCTCTTCTTTAGTGGTTGAGAGGGATTCCAAGAATATTATTCGATGGGCGCCCTTGGCCTTTCTCCTCAGCCTTGGACGCTTGCTCATATATTTGACGAGATAGCGCACATTTGCTGGGGTATCGACATCTCTTGGAGGCATATATGGCAAGAAAAAAACCACAAAGCTGATTCTCTCACGAAGGAGGCTGTGTCGGTTGTTTAGACACCCCCTCGTTCCTCTCTCAAGTTTCTCCATGGGACCTTGTTATGTACTTACATAGACCTCTATACTGTTGTTTTTTTATAGGGTTCCCCTTAGGGGGGACCCTTTATTTTTGTACAAAGCTCCCCTTCTTGGGGATGAAATTTTTTGTAAAGAGCTCCCGGCTTGTAAAAGGCCTCATTTTTTACCTACCGTACTTCTCTGTCTTTAATATTATAGAATTGTTAACCTCTTTACAAAAAACGAATTAGGGAGATAGAAAAATGATTCAGGAAGCATAAAAAAAATAAGAGGAAAACTTCCTAAAAAACCAGGTTAAGCATACTTCAATGCGGCGTTTGGAAACAATAGATTTACATTTTTTTAGAAACTAAAACTTCCTAAACTCAGTTTCCCGTAGCACTTCTTGTTAACAAACAAGGCAGTGACACAGGAAACTAGAGCTTCCAGTTTCTAGATCTGCAATTTCCTGTTATCAAACATAGTCTAACTCTAGCTTTTGGTGAACAGAAAATAGGATATGTAGACTCTACTCAGAACACAAAAATCAAAGGAGATAGTCAACTGATGTTTGTTAAAGGAATAAAAGAATCTAAGGGCTTATGAGATACTTGCAAAAAGCTGGACATATCAATCTACCAAAAGGCTAATCCCACACAACTGCAGACGTAAAAGTCAAGGTCAAAAGGAGAGACAAAAGAACTTGATGTTCTTACTTCTAAAATCATTTGAGAGACCTGAATGTACCAAGGAAGGCTAGAACAAAGGCATATAAGAAAACAACTTCAAATCCTGGATGCCCTCTAACTACAGAAATGAGTCTTGAGCTCTTCTGAGGGAAATGTGTAAATCACTCTAAGGGGAACTGAAGGGAGCTGTCACTAAATACAATTTTCTCATGCACTAGCATATACTGTGTCCAAGAAAACCCATTTTCTTACATAGCAAAACATGTATGCAAGTTTAAGTTGGTAGCAGTAACCAGGCAGGTTACATCATAATCATAAGATCGGTTCCAGATCTTAGTTAGGATTGTTCAAAGGTGCAACTACTGAGATAAAGGGATATATGGAAGTATAAGGATTAGCAGACATCCCACATAAATATGCATTGATGAATTCCTGGATAAAAAAGGTGGACATTATCTAGACAAATAGCATAGGAAGGCTACACTTCAAAAATTTCTCAGGCAAGACTCGCACATACATTAGGGCACCATGAAATGATAGTAAGAGAAGATGTATAAAGAAAAACATTAAATGCAGTTTAATCAATCCAATTTAAACGATCCTTTTTAACATTTTCAAAGAAATGTTTAAAGATGGCCAAAAAGGAATCCTACGCCAGGAGCTTCCATCCTAGATATCCAACATGACTGCTTCTTTTGTGTGACAAATGCTCATTTCAACAAATCCCAATGGATTTTCAGTTCCTGCAGGAAAAATGAAATAGAAAAATGAACATGAGAAGCATACAAATTCTTATATCCAAGAGAACCAACCATCTCAAGTTGTGCACACGTGAGTCAAAAGGGTAAATTTAGAGGGAACTTTACAGATTTCATATCAACATATAAAGAGAGCCTTCACTAAGTATATGTGCAAGGCAATATGTACAGGGTCAAATTCAACCCCCCAAATACACAGCATTCAATGTAATTCATTCGTGTCTAAAATCTAAATCATGTCCTCAAGTGATTGATGTAACCCACAGCATGATCAGCTCTGAATATTAGAAGTTTCAAATCACTTATCATCAGAGGTTCGAACCACATCTCATCAAAAATGCAGAATATATATGTTTCCCTTTCACCAAATCTGTTTGAAATCACACCAAACTAGTGCATCACCTGTTTCCAGTAACTAATACACAAATCCTAACCCAAAGAGCAGTAAGATTACATATTAAGATACCAAATGTTGCCTGCATACATACCAAATTCCTAAGTCAAATCATATCATAAAAATGACAGGGTGCCAATAAAGGTTGAGGACAGGATGGAAGCTAAAGATTCTGCAAGTTAAAATAAATGAATGCAGTTATGGTCCAACAATTCAGGATGAAAGATTTTGACTTTCAAGTTTGTGCAGTTCTAGTGTCTTAAGGGTTGGCAGAGAGTTATTTCTAGAATGTGGGATGGGAGATCACTGAATAGGAGTGGAGGTGCAGAGAGTTCTCCAGTTGTTTTTTGAGTTGGCTGCCGAAGGAGGAGATATTTTTTTGTTAGTCCCGAAACTTTGGGGTAAGGCTTCTCCTGGGATCTTTTAGGAGCATTTGGAGGGTAGCAGATGTGTTGGACGAAATTCCAAATCCGCTGTACTCGTGAGGAGAAGGGGGGGAAATCAAGTGACAACAAGGGAAGGTTTTCATAATATATCAGCATAAGTTAGTGATTTTTTCTTATTTTGTGGGGCAGGGTTAGTGACTTTTTCTTATGTTGTGGGGCAGAGTGTTGTTCACATGGGCTAGGAACCTATGGAGTGCCAGTACTGGCACGAGTTGGTAAGTTCCTCACCTCTATCAAGGTTAGAGAGGGAAATACATTAACTGTGAGCGGCACGAGAGAACCAATGGATAGTTCCAACAACATCCACATCCACCTTGATACACCAGCTGCCACAAGAGGTATGGTCATATGACTCAAAGGGCAAAGATAGCTTGCAATCGGGAAAGAAGCACAAGGGAAAGAAGCACAAGGGACACTATGAAATGAATTGAGTCAAAGCAAGTTGCATGGACACAGGTATGTGCATCAATGCCAGACAGGTATGGCGTGTCGGATTCTTGAAGCCATGAAAACAACACAGCTATATTATCAAGAGACAATAAATCCAACCATGCATTACTAATATCCCATTTCATAATCTGTAGCAACGAAAAGACAATTATACCTTACTTGGCTGAATCCATAGATATTTCTAGATTTTGTAACATAGAATAGAATCGAACATTGAAGAGATTAGTTCACAACAATAAAATGATGGGGGGATTTGAAAAGGAGTATATCCCTCTCCTTGTCATGCCTTCCATTCCACTATTCTGATCGAGAAAGATTCCACCTAGTCAGAATTCAAAAGTTTCCTTGGCCATGTGGAACATGGATTATCCATTGATATTTTTACATATCCATAGATATTTTCATATCCATAGATATTTTCATAGTTTATTCGTGTCAAAACTAAAATAAGATCGAATCTCTACGATAATGTGCCCACTGGTTAGTGGAAAGAAAAAGAATCGAGAAGTATCTGTGTTAGTGTATATACGTTGACATGAATATAACAGGGTTACAGCACCCAAACAGAAGAATCCAATGTAATAGAGTCAAGCAAATCATCCTTTTGGTTACCTAAAGGGGAAGAAGGCAAGGCTCTTGAAGATACATCTAAGTTTTACTAAAGATTCCATGAAATGTTTAGGATTGACTAGAAGTCAAACAAATAACTGCAACAGTGCAACTCATGCACAAAGATATTTAGAAATGCAACAATTGAAGCTAGTTACATACAAATCACAAGCAGACACTCCATATATTTATTTGATCATTGGATTTGAGCAGAGCCATTTTCTAATAATATGTAGAAGATATACCAGTTGCACTCTCAACTTCTCACATAAAAAGTATAAGGTCTACCTCATACAATTTTATGCTAAAAAATTATGTCAAATAATGATTTTTTTGGGAACCTAATATCTGCTTGAAATCATGAACATGTTTTTTTCTCAACTGTAAATATGCTCAAAGCTCGTTACAACAAGTATACTCTAGCACCCTCCAGATATTGTCCACTATGGGGAATTTATTGATGGGTACTGCCATCTCATAAGAAAAGTTCATATGAAGAGTTATTACCCTTCCAGTGGGCCAAATCATTAATAGCTCACAGATAACTTGCCCAATTGAATTTGAAGAGATAAAGAAATGTTGCTTATTAGTGCATTGTGAATGTTAGATCTTGCAATGCCAATTTGAGAGGTTTTATTACATTCAAATAGACAGCAGTTGGCCATGATGTCAGTTGTAGATCCTCATTTATATTTGAACTTGAAACAACATACATAAAACTTTTCCTCCTTGAAAGAGAAAAAGCACACGCGTTGTTTTATGCTAGGTGAATTCAAATCAAATATCTTGTAAGGGTATCCCTTTTTGTAAAAAATAACAACGCTGTTTGGACCAGTTTTTAATCTCATTTTCTTCTCAACTAATTTCATACTTGACTTACTGAAATTCCTTGCAGACATTTTAAAGCACTTAGAACTCCCAAGTGTCTATGGATCAATCTAGATCATGGTTCAAGCCAAATTTACAAAAATCAGCTGGTCCCTACGGCAAGCAATAAAACTCGGCTATGCATGCAAGTACGCAGAAAATAACTTTCCATATAGAACTCTCAACAGAAAGTCCAGATCAAGAATCCAACACAAATTACCTCCCCATGTCAAGGGTAATAAGAAGTTGGGAACTCAATCAAATTTTTGGAACTTGTTGGAATCACACCAACGAGATGCCCAAATTTCTTCATAAATAGAGGAAATGGGCCAATATTATCCACAAGACCAAAAGCTCAAGCAATTATGCATCATGAGGACGGGAATAGGCTCCTTGCCTTCAGCTATTTTTCTTTCAAGCATTGACAGAAGACACAATATCCTCTTTTCCCGACCCTGGAAGAAAGAGAAAGAAAACTGTGATCGCATGAAGCAAGACTGGTCAAAACACAACAAAAATGTTCCCCAAACCAGGGTTCAAGATCGGCAGACCTGGACCAGCCCATTAAACTAAGGGACCTTAAATTCAGGCCCCACCTGGCCCGACAAGCCATGTGAAGGGGCCCGAACCAGGAATCAGGGCCTTCAGAGCCCATCCGACTGGACAGGCCAATTCACACCCTATTAAAATGGAAATTCACATAGTAAGGGCTTGTTGAACTACGGCCTGGGCCCAGATTATTAAGCTAATAGGCCTTAAATTGAAGGCCCGGCACAGCCCAGAGAAGAGGCCCAAACAATTCACCCGGGCCTTCTACGCCCATCGGACTAGCCAAGCCCATTTGCACCCAACCCAAACCCAGAGAAGTAAGTCAAAGAGAAAAAAAAAGAAAAGGGAAGGGGGGGGGGAAGAGGAAGGAATAACCCTCTTTAGAGCTAGCAAGAGACAACTCAGAGCAGCAGCCAATTCGCCTTCTTCCAGAGGCACTTACCTAAGCAGAGCCATGCATCTTGGATAAAAGAATTCAATGTAATCTGGAGCAACAAAAAAAACAAAATTACAAAAGCTCCATGAACAGAATTTTAAGCAGACATACAGCCAAAACTTCTCTTTAACAACCATACAGCTTTCTTCATTATTTACAATACCATACAGCTTTCTTCATTATTTACAATATCAATAAAAAAGAAAAAATAATAATAACGTACAGCTGTTGACAGATGATCTTCTACTTCCTTACAATGTTCAGGAAATACATCCAATATCTTCCCTCTTAGATACTCATAAGTAGCTCGCTCTAATGAAGAGACTCTTTTTTCTGCAAAAGAGGTATAACATAATGTATCAAGAGTCCAATATACACGAGACCATAAATGTTCTTCCATATCACTCTTTTTCTTTTCTTTTCTTTTCTTTTTTTTAATATTTGGGAGATTTAGCCAAAAACTAATAGGTTGAGATAAAGTGCTCCATGCAGTACAGAACAATTCTAGGACGCAAACAACATGTTAGGTAAAGCTTGTCACATTCTCGTAATTAAATGGAAATATGGAATGACAGTTATATCCGTACAATTATTATAGATAGCTAGTTTTTGAAACACATGGTCCTAACGATAGCCTTAGGCCTTGTGGCTCAAGTTGCTAAGGGAGTATAAGGCTAGATAACATAGAAAGAAGAATGAGTTGGGAGGTGAATAGGGGCCAAATATGTTGCGTAAACATAGAGTGCAACAGGAATCAGAATCAAGAAACATGATTGAGGCTGAGTCATTATTCAGATGGATTTTCGTAGAGGAGGCGTTGAACATCCATTTCCCATGCTTACATAAACTAACCACTGTTCATGAGGCATTGGATAGCTAGCATGGAGAGGAGACACCATAGGATTGGTGGCCTCTCTTTCAAAAGAAACCTAAGAATCAAAGGATTGAGTCCCACAGAACAAATGATTACTTCCACTGCTAATCTTAGACCAAGGGCTTTCTGAGAAAGCCATCTAAGGAATTATTATAGCATGAATTTGTAGATCTCTGTAGGAATCTTGAGCCTCATAATGCAGGGGGCCCAAAGAACCTCAGTAAGACTCTCATGACCCTTACAAGGCATGTTTCTTGTTAAGATGTAAAGGAGGTTTAAGTAAGAAATTTTTGACAGGCCTCAAATTTTCTTTCACACCTCCGAGACCTTTGATAGTAGATGGGATGGGACATGCTCAGTGTTATTAGATGATGATGTAGTACTTGCTAAAACGTGAAAGATATAATCAACAATGGGGAATCAAGTCTGTATCCAATTCAAACATGTACAAAAAATGCCAATTACATGGTAGGCTCATTGGCTGGAGGTAGTTCGAGGGGGACTCTCTCTTGAATGAACTCTTGATCTTACCCCTGCTATTACAGTAGTTGTTTCTCTTATTTTATATTGTGTGATATCCCTAGATTTCAATTCATTCCAGTTTGAAACAATATTTTAACCTTTATGATATTAAAATAAAAAAAAGTAGGAAAGGCAAAATTGCAAGACAAGAGTTCTGTAATTTATGCATGAAAGTCGAGTACTTTCATTGGGTTAAAAATTCTCAAAATAAACTAGACACAACATTATTCAAGCATAAATCAATGCAGTCAATTCTTTAACGATAGACAGCAATTCATGTTTTAACTAAAAGCAGCTGCCACATTCTCCTCCAAACTAAGCATAAAAGCTTTTGATGTTCTTGCAGCCTTCATATTGTCAGGGGCTCACCGGCTATTAATAAAATCATGTCTAAGAATGAGAGGTACTCCATGCCATGCAAACACAAGAGGCCCAATCATATGGTGTAATGTTTGCAAAAAAGAAGTATCTTCTTAAATATACAATGTAATGAGAGAGAGGTGATGGAGTAGACCCAGCGGGACTCATAAGTTATATTATTAAAATACCGCATATGAAAGGCATCAAATCCCTTAATATTGGGACCTTTGGCTAAAGGTTTGTTTTCTTGGGTTAATGGAATAGGAACTGACACAGCTTGAGTGGAACCAGCCCGCAGCTAGAATACAAAATATTGACATCCCCATGTCTAATAGACACTCTTTTCTTTTCTTTTCTTTTCTTTTCTTTTTCTTTTTTTGTAACTGCAGGAATACTCATATTATTGGATCATAAATGAAATCTGGATCACTAGCAAATTGGAGGGAAGTTCATCAGAGATAAATAAATAATTCTCCGAACCCCCGGGCCTGTAGCATCATCTCTCCAGCACGTGTTTAGAAGCACATTGAAGTTTCAAAGTTTCCTCCTATAGTTTGAAGAGAGCTGTCTAAGAATAACATAAGGCTACAAAAGGATGGAATGATCCCATGGAGAATTTATTTCATTTAAACTTTAACTAAAATTTTGACATCCCAAGGGTAGCTCATACAAATATGAAGGTTAACTTGGTGACGGATGGTGTAACAAATATATGGGCAGTAAATGGCAAGGTTTGCGGATCAGGAATTTCAGCCACCATACTTCAAAAAATCAGCAAAAAATGAGATATTGGACTTTTATATTATGAGATCATGAAATATAACAAACAATGCAGAAATAAAATGACATGTTTATGATGAACTAATAAACTTTTCAATGATGTGGATATTGAACCAAAATAAGGGTAATTGCTATAAAGATTTCAAAGAAGTAAGAAAATTCACAAATATGATATAACAACCATTATCTGTAGACAAGGTAGAGTCACTTGAAAAAGTGCATGAATATGAAGGAAGACTGGCATTTCTAGTCAATGATTCCAAGTAGCAAACTTGAGAACTGAAGAAGTTTTAGATATAAGTAATTCTTGACAAGGAAAATGTAATAACAATAGGAACAATCATCTGAACTTCCACAATAGGGAGGATTAAATAGGCACCAAATGATGAAACCAGCATAGGCATAGCATCTGCATTATGAACTCTTAGATTCGGCGAAATGAAATCTACAGGTCTTAAAGATGCAGAAACTTCACATGATCTTCGCAAAGGAATTGAATTGGATGCATGCTTGCCTAGAAAATAACTTAAAAGAGAATTTAAATCTAATTCCCCATTACTTTAAATCACTTAAAAGAGAATTTAAATCAAATTCCACATTACTTTGCATGTTTGTTGCTGCCAAATAGGTCGACAAAACCACAACGGATAAAGGAAAAAACAATGGCTCATATAAGGAAATTGGGAAGTATCTTCTTTCCATGAGTTACAGTATCCCCTGATGAGATCCATCCATGTTTGGCAGACAACGACAGAGGTATGACATATCCCCTGAGGAGATCAATCCATGTTTGGCAGACAACGACAGAGGTATGACATATCCGCTGAGGAGATCCATCCATGTTTGGCAGACAACGACAGAGGTATGACACATTTGAATAAATATTTTGTCACTGAGAGTGAGAAAAAGAAAATTCTGTCAACTAAAAACTTCACTCATCGTGTCTTAATATTGAAGTTTCAAAGAATCTTTGGTAATTGACAAAAGGTTTTTGAGAGGGCAACCACTAAATTTATGTGCTTCAGATATAGGGGATCCATGCATGCAAATGAGTACTCCACAAGATTACCTCAAGGTGAATCATTCATCTGCATGATCTAATGAAGTTAACATGATAACCCCTGGACTGTTGATACATGCAGGTATTTGAATCGCCATTGTTTTGTCAATGGAGAAAACTAAATGCGCTACGTTGGCTAAGAGAGAGGAAGAAATCCCTTGCCCAGTCAAGTTCTTCAATTATAAGTTACAGGGATACCCAGTCCATCTTGTTTGATGCAGATCAAACACAAAGGTAAAGAATCCACTATGTCATCTCATAAACATTTTAAGTCCTTATTTATTCCTTGAGGTAAGTGCACACCTTCTTTGCCATGATCAACCAATAAATAAGGAAAAAAAAACACACCTCTCTCTCAAAGAAAATGACTAAGTGGTATGTGCAGTTAGTATTAACATCCCATTAGTTCTATAGCACACTTATCTAACCGCCATGGAGGCCAATCTCTTCAAATGTGACCAAAAATCTACAAAAAAAACTTACAAAAGAAGAAACAAGAGCAAAAGAGATTCACCGTATTTGTTGTTACATTCCCATAAATGGAAATAAATCAGACATTTATGACACTCAAGCCCCAAAATAATGTTGATAACTCAAACCTAGTTTCCATAAATGAACAAAATGTGATAGAAAATTCACCCACGAGTCAAACCCAGCAAAAACCCAATACAAAATCAGCAAGAGCTCAACACCCATGGCCACATTCAGAATAATACACAAAAACATATAAATAGGAGTTGAATAGAACACCCAAAACCCCAAAAACAGATAGCCATCAACAATCAAAAACATAAACAGGGGTCTGGGAGAACACAGTCCATGGTTCAAACGAACCCCTGGAACAAAAACCAATAATCAAAATTTCAAAGTAAATTTTATCAGGAGGAAGGATCGAACCAAGAAGCTTGAGAGCCTCATCAGCTTCTCTCTGTAATCTTTCTCTCCTCTCCATGGGAGGGAAATCTGCAGGCCTTTCCAACTCACTAGTTTTACAGTACGAGGAAGATGACTGAAATGACCCTAACCGCAAATCACAAATGGCGATTGTTTGGCGCATAGATGTTAGTCCCGAACCGTACCATACAGGTTGTCCGAAAACCGTCAACCCCCGATCTGGACCGTTGGGAATGTTTTCAGTGCACTAATGGGCTCATTAATTAGATTAATCAGCTGATTAATGAGATTAGTGCACTAATCGGCTCATTAATTAGATTAATTGGCTGATTAATGAGATTTGTGCTCTAATTAGTGATTTGTTCTAAAAATCAGTCGATAAGTGCAAATCACTAATTAGTGTATTAAAATTTTTCATATATTTCTCCTTTCTTTTTTTTTTCTATTCGTATTTCTCTACTTAAAACTTTATCTATTACAAATTTTTAATTGGATGCAGTTTGTATAGAGTCGAGGCTCTAAACAATCAAATTAGAGCCCACCTTCAAATACCATCGACAAATGTGATTTCAGTATTAGAAACATTTGTGATAGCTTTAAAATATATTTTCATCTTTAATAATAAAATTTATAGTTTTAAAATTAGTGTAGATCAAGCAGATCTATGAAAACTTGAAAATCGATGGTCCAAAAATGCATTACAATATGCACTATTTCCAAAATTGCATTTTTAAAAAAAATCAAGGCACAAATCGGCCAGTCTAATCGGACTCGGACAGACCAATCGGATTGGGCCAGGACCGACTGCTTGGCCCGATTTGTTTGTTTTGAACATTATTAAAAGCTAGATAAAACATTTGGCCCATTTTGGCCGGTCCTACCCACAGGTTTCAACTATTTCAACTAGTGCTTTGGCTAGTGTAGTACATAGTAAAAACCAGGTTGCATAAAAAACCAATCAAAATCAGTATTTAACAGTTTTGGCCAATCCGACCAGCTGGTTTCAAGTGGTTCAATTGACCAAACAAATTGGACTACTTTTTTTAATATATTATACATATTTAAACTATGGGTGTGGTTTGCATAAGGTTGCAACCTTAAACAATCTAATTATGGCACACCTCTAAATTTTATCATAACTGTAACTTTGATATCAATTTTTCTTACAATTGCTTGAGAATCTATTTTCATCTGTAATTATAAAATTTTAAACTCTAAATATAGTTCAAATCAAATAGATATATAAACATATGAAAATCATGAAAATGGAGGGTCCAAATAATGTGTTACAAGATACATTATTTTGCTGACTCAAAATCTTTTTTTTCTTTTCAAATTCATACATCTCGACGTTGAGATGATCAATTAGAGGGTTTTTCAACATACAAACCATATTTATTGATGGATTTTTGAGGTGCACCTTTAATTATACATTTTAAAGTTGCAACATTATATAAACTTTTTCTTTAAAATATTATCTATATTTTTTCTTAATGCTTTTTAAAGTCCGATCAAACTTGTTCGACCATCAGCTAAACTGTTTTGAACCCCACACGAGTTTTTAGTGCATGTGCCAATATTGTAATATTGATTTAAGCCATTATTCACAATTTTTTTATATTTTTGAAATGCAATAAAATCGATTCGACTGACAGTCATATTGTTTTTTACTGCACCACACCTCTCATCGGTTTGATACACATTCCGATCTTAATAACATTGGTCTGACGACCAAAATCGTATTCAAAGACAAGAATGGGTAGTATTGAGAAAAGAAATATAGAAAAATTTAAAATATAAGAACACATATTAAATTTTGACTATTTATTTTCATATAATAGGAGGTATAAATCAAAGCAAAATAAAAATATAATTTAAGTTGAAAATAGCCAAAAAGTAGTTAAAAAATCAAAAATCGATTTTTGACGCTTTCGGTTTTGATCGAGAAAACCTCGTTAGGGCTTGTTCATATCAATGCTTTTGCAATATCACTATGTCATAGACATTATGGGAAAATTTGAATGAATTTGGTGAAAAATAAGCGAGAAATTGAATATTTTTAATTTCAAATAAAATCCTGAGATTTGGAAGCTCGGAGTTTCTTCTACTTTGCTTGTTGATCCAACGTATTGTTGTAGGGTTTTGTTGGTGGGCTCAAATACTAACATTTTCGAAATAAAAATTCAAATTATTCGGTTGAGATTTAGGGAAGAAAAACAAAGAGTGGCGGTCTTCCGTAACAAGGCCAGAAAAATTGAAAATTGTGCTCTCCATTGCATTTGTTTTACATTTGAACCACAAAAACTGCTATAGTAGTTTGATAGAGAGCTTAAAGGCTTTGAATAATTTAATTATAGAAGGGCAGAAATCGATAAAATGACAAATTTAGGGTTTTAAAGTAAAAAATGGGCCTAGACCTTAGCTGGGGCATAGGTGGTGCTATGACCACGACCTCAACCCCATTCTGGTAGGGCCTAGTGCTTGAGAGGTAGTATTAGACAAGTAACAAAAAAACATGTTACATACTTAAAAAATGTAGATTTCAATGAATCATTTATCCAGACGGGGAGTAGACCCAATTCTTAATTGGAATATGTGTGAATTAATGGACTTGCCCAATTTTGTTTAGAGAGCCATGCGATCCGAATCAGTCAAATCGCTCAGTTCCCAACTAATTTATTTTATATTCTTTATTTTAAAATTTTAAAGATATTTTTAACTTTTTTGGATTGATTGTTCTGCAAGAGATTCAGTTTGACCTAGCCTAGTTGAAGAATCAGTTGGGCCTAATCAGCAACCAATCCGGCTAGACCAATTCGGATTTTGAAATATTTGAGCATCGTGTCGCAGTCAAACTGTTGGAAATTGTTGGTTGAATAGGGGCAAAAATGTAGTATAAATTCAGAAATTTGAAGCTTAGATCATTCTTGTTTTCAGGCATGTCAGAGCGTTATCTCAAGACAATATTTGTTCCCTTCGATACTATAAAAAGTGTGCATATGAAGGGCAACTCTTCCTAAGGATACAGAAAAACATAGAGGTTTCTTTTGACACTCTAAAGCTCTATATACTCGAGCTTGAAGCCCACAGTAGACACCAGAATCTTGTGTTGTTATAGAGAAAAAGGGAGAAAAACGGGTAGAGGCAGATGAGTCCACTATTATGCTCTTTAAAATTTCATAGAGAAATGTGTGTTGAGAAATTGCAAAAGCCTATTTTCATATGGGAAGAATGACCTTTATCATAGAGTTCCTAGAGGTTGCCCATTTACTATAGGAGTGGTTACAAGTGCCACCATTAGTTACAAGCTACATGCACACCGTTAATCTCGACGGTTGCTATTACAAACCTCCTTTTCTTCAATGACTAGAAGACTATTAGATGTTCCACGCTAGTCATACTCACAAAAAGATATCGAGCCTCGAGCCCTACTCATACACGTGCTTCGGGGAGGGATGCCTTGCACTCCTCTTTTTCTTCAATAGTGTGATAACCATTGGATGCCCTACACGAGCCATGCTCACAAAACAATATATAGCCTTGAGCATGACCTGTATATGTATGAGAAGCACCTCACGTGCCAATATGAGCATGCGAAGTGCAAAGTGCACCATCAGGCGCTCTTGCACCCACGTGCATGCATGCTCTGCATATGCACCATTATTCTCTCCTTTGTATTAAGAGTATAAGGCATGATAATGCCTACACTTAAATACTACTCAATTTACTCTCCTATTTTCAATATGGGACTAGAAACCCACAACTTTCTCTCTCTACAAAATACCAGTTAGGAAAAACCGCAAAAACCATATTTGTTATTTTGAAGTACATACGCATATTTTTCAAAACTTAAATACTATTGTTTTCTTCCACTATTTCAAAATAACAAAAAAAACTAAAATATATTATTTGCGTATTATGAAGGTATCTTTCGATTTGAACATTCACTTAGAGTACACATGACAAAGTTCATCAAGTACCATGGTAGCAAATAGCTTTGAACTAGGTTGCGTAACTAACAGACTAATAGTATAACTCACAAACTGTTGGGTTTAGTGATAGCTAAATCACCATACCCATATTTTCTTCTAGAAGATAAAGGGTATTATTATAAAAATAAAGGGCATTTCTTATGAAGCAAGAAAGTGAAATCTATATAAGGGAATCAAAGAAGACACAATATCCATCCTTTGAGGGTCACCCCTTTGGGGGTTCTGGGAATGGATTTCCAATATGGAGATTTATCTTCAAGAGAGAGAGAGAGAGAGAGAGGCGGTATTCCTATAAGTTTTGGGTTGGATAACTGTCCCTTCTAGAGAGAGATACTCTCTCGATTGCTCTCAAGGTTATCTTTTCCAATAGCTGTATTGCGGTGGGAAAGATTGTGTTGATCGACGGTGTTGCTCGGTCTGGAGCGCAGGTTTAAAAGGGAAGATCGGTGATGGTCTTTTATTGATGTTTAGAGATATATATTATCTCTTGTAACCAAAAGCAGTAATCTTTATTGTGATAGTGGATTTCTAGTTGCCGAGGCCGTGGATGTAGCCCTACGGGGTAAACCACGTATATCGTGTGCTGTTGTGGTGTGCTTTTTATGCTTGCTTTATTTCTCGCATTCGATTTATAGTTGTATTCATCTACTTCGCATTTGGCTAATCATGTACACGATATTGGGTGGGATCTCGGTATTTGGGATTTCTGGTTCCACAAGCTTAGGGGTTCACGATAACTCTACAATTGGTATCAGAGCATAAGATGTATATGGGGCTAAGGCTCGCGCATTGAGAAAAAGAGCAATCTTGAAATTTGATGGATACATGGTTCGAGGTGGAGAAATATGGAGGCAAAGTGTTTATGAAAATTCCATAATGGAGGCAAGTATGAATAAATCAAAAAATCTATTCAATGGATATTGTCAAGGCAATTATGGTGATTTTGCTATCAAGGTAGAGATTGTTGGATTTGGTGATAGCTAAATCACCATACCCATATTTTCTTTTAGAATATTAAGGGTATTATTGTAAAAATAAAAGGGACTTTCTTAGGAACCAAGAAAGTGAAATCTATATAAGGGAATCAAAGAAGATACAATGCCCATCCTTTAAGGGTCACCCCTTTTGAGGGTTATAGGAATAGATCTCCAATATAGAGATGAGTCTCCAAGAGAGAGATATGACCTCTGAGAT